GGTGCTTGGATAGCGCTGGTCCTGAATGGGACGGCAGAACCTTGGCTCTTTACTATTTTATCGGAGAGGGTGCAATTGACTCATTGTTCCCCCCTTGGATCCACCACTGCATGCACCAATGAGCCTTGGTCACCCATGATCCTCACTCAAGTTCACAGGTTGTCCTTCCATGAAGCACTTTCGGTAGATACTAACCACTGCATACTGGGAACACAACACAGGCTGTTTTGGAGATGCTCTGACCCAATCATCTAGCCATCATGTAATTAATTTCACCTGTCAGTGGTTTTAATGTTATGGCTGATCAGTGTAGATATGTTATGTGAGATGATTTATAAATTTGGGAACAGAACGGACATGAGACAGATGAGACTAAATCTAAATAGATGTAAAGCGATTAATTTGGGAACAAAAATAAACACATTTCCGTTAGGGATGTAATTAAATGAGAGCAATGTAGGAATAATAAAATAAATCTGACTTGCTCTAATGTGCAATATCATTCAGCAGCTTCAAAGACCAGTAAGGAATAGTTATGTAAAAGAGTTATTATTGAGGGTTATTGAAATATTTCACCTACTTATTAACCAGTGATAAGCTCCTGCCTTGAATATGCAGTGCAATACTGGGCATATATTTTCATGATACTATGAAACTGGAATACATATAAAAAAAATTCTAGATTACAATTACAAAAGACGTTTAACAAAATGTATTAACACTAGACATAATGCATATGGTACCATTCATCAATTATATGTATGACCAATACAAACGGCTGTTTTGTGACCTGCTCGCTAACAGCACTGAACAAAGGACAAACGCTCACATATATTGACAACGCTGGGAATAAGGTTTCACTTGGAGGAGCAGAAAGGGTTCGTAATAGTAAGAACTAGACTGGACGTTTAGAAAAAAATATATCTATTTTTGTTTTCAAAGTCGATTGATCAAGTTTAATTGACGCAGAGGTTTAGCTCAGACAAATATCGTCCATTCAAACAATTCAGGAAAACTATTCAGACATAGCAAAAGGGCACGTAAAATGATCCCATCATTGTACAGCAAAATATATTTCTAATATTTAATAAATATTATGTATTAATTAGAGTTATTTTGGTCAGATAGAATGGTATTATATGATTCATATTCAACCCACATTTGTCCAATACTTATAATTTTGAGTGTTTGGTTACGTTTGAGCATTCAGTTGTGAATATTAAGTGTTTGGTCTAGTGATTTCAATTTGTTTCTTTATTATTATTATTTGTTTAATCTGTCTGTCTGTCTCTGTCTGTCTGTCGTCTATCTTTTTGTCGGTTCTCCTAACCTTCAATTATAAACAACCAATGTCCATTTTTGTTGTTACATGATTTGGTCATGTGGTGATTCGGAGTTACGGAATTCTGATGTGCCCCGATTTCCCAAAATTTGGACAGATTTTAGTTTAATCAAAAACAACTATAGTAAAAATAATTTTAAAAAAAAGCATTTGTAACCTGGAAAAGATGCGGAGAAGATCAAATTTAGTATGTGACTCTTTTGAGGATAATTGTCTTAAGTTACACTTACACTTAACTGGAAATAGTTTTAGGTTGTTTCAAACCAGAACCAGGTGTCTTTATGGCTCTACGCTTGTGAGTTTATTATATGCAGAATGTATACATTTATATAGTCATAAGATTTATCTGCACTATTTGTGTTCCCTTTCTGTTTTTTATTACAGAATCTGTAGATTGTACAGAGGGAAGTATATGTATTCTTAAGCTCCCCCTATGTGTGTTTTTTTTCTGATATGAAAGAAGCCACGAATCATGAAAAACAAGTTTTTGTTAGGAGTTCTGTTTTTGTAGGGACAAAGGGATTGATAAAAAACAAATTTCAAATTCGAATATGTTTGCTTTTCTTTGGAGATTATCACTTTAGAACATTACGATATTCATCAGATGGGGCAGGGTGAAAGGGTAGTAAGATTCAATACTATAGCATTGATACAATACAATAGTTTAAAACTATCTCCACAAAATACAAGGTAATGGATCTGATGCCATTAATAACCAGCAGAAAGGGCATCTTTTCCCTATGTCTGCTTTCATTGTTCAGAACAAGTCCACGTTTCATATGGAACGTTACACTAAATTAACCTAATCATGTCTGACAGCTAATTTTCTGAGTGATAGGCAAGTGCTTAGGGACCGGGTTTTTAATATAGTAGAGAATATTACAACGGAATTTAATTGAAAAATAAAGTGCTTTTTAGAACTTGAAATTACATTTTTCCTTCATCATAGAAAATGGGTTTTCTTAATCCCACAGCTGCAAGAAGAATCTCCTCGCTTGTTTGTCGAGCGATAATTCACTCAAAGATCTGTAGTGATACCCAATGATTCTTATTCGGCGTCAAACACTCTTTGTTCAACGGCAGCAAAGTTTGCGTTTCTATCAAGATTTGACTTCTTAAAAGGTATATTTTGGAGAACAACGACAGACCCAGCCCCGGGGCACATCAGCGATGGGAAAAGGTAAGTAAATAAAAGATTTTTTTAAAAATTTTTTATAATTCTTTATTTTCGATGTGCATGAGATTACAAACAGCTTGCGGAGCCACAACAGCAGTAGCAAGCACTTCATAAACAAACAGTAAAACATTGTTATGGCATTTGAGACAGTTGCACATTTTTATAGAAATAGAAATAATAAAATAAGATATCGTTGTCTGTTATAACGAAAAGATTATATGAGCATTTTGCAAGCCCGTTGTACAGGTAATGGGTTTGATAATACTTAAGCTTAGAAGGGGTATATACTAAGCTTAGGAGCACCGTGCAGCATACAAACTTAAAACAGGACAACATGTTGAGCCAGGATAATTTAGTCTGATACACAGTTAGCACTATGACAATATCAAGGAAATTGCAGAAAATGCACACAAATGACTAAGAACTAGTAAAGAGTTGCTAAACAAGATAGACTTTAGGTTACTCTATGCTGAATAAAAACAAGCTACCATAAGCTAAACCAGCCTGTCAGGACTGAATTTTGAGAACAGATTGTTAAAAGGAAGCCACTTGGGAACTATGCCTGCATAGCGTTAGAGAAGAGAGCCATTGGGGCCTAGCATCATGTGGGATATTTATTTATTTCCCCCTAGACTGTGGCCTGGCATCATAAAGCATGTCAGTCAGCTCACCCCTATTACTGGGAAATTAGTGTCCCACAAAGTAAACCGAGGCCCACAGTTCTCCAGCATACATCCCGGCAGGTCCTCACGTTTTTTCCCGCAGTGATGTCTTGGGATTGTTGGGCTCATTTGGAGAGACACTCTCCAAAGCTGTGCTCCACGAGCACTGTTGCAGTGGCTGGTCCACGGAGGCCTGCAAGAGTAGCGTTTCCCAAATTGCCTGGTCCGCCGGGAGGATAGAACGCCACCTGTGAGAAGCTGAGGCCATCGATGTGGTGGAGCTCCTGTCACCTGCCGGTGAGACTTCACCTCCTGCTGGGTACATTTCTGTTGTGGACAGGCATGGAGAGTGCTGTCACCTCGATATTTGTGGCATGAGTCTCTTGTGTGGTCTCCCTGCCCACCCCAGCTCCCAGCACACTCCCGAGCACTTGAGATCATTCAGTCCCACTGCATGTTGCTGCAAGAGTGGTGTGTTGTTCC